TACAGCTGCTATACCAAAGGCCCACCGGTACCCTTTCGGGTCACGGAAGTATCCGTCCCTGAGATAGTCTATGCCAAGGATGCACGGAGCACCTGTGCCAGTCATTCTAAGGTGCAGTTGCCACTCCTTACCAGTGAGTCTCACATCAGCTTCCACAACAGTCAGTTGTTGAGATCCTCCTGTCACTCCAGATATAGTGACGGAGTCTGTCCCTTTATGATTCGATGGCATTAGTGTGCACTGTGCACCAGTGTCCACCAAAGCTTTATATCTTTGTGGTTCTAATGTGCCAGGCCACCGAATCCACACAGTCCAATAAACTCAGTTGTCCCTCTCCTCCTCCTGGCTGGAGGCAGGGCATCTCTAAGGTTGAGCACTAGAGGTCGATGCACCATTGGTTGAAGCCCCAGCCAGTGAAGAAGCCTTCTTCCTGGAAGGAAGATGATCTTAATTTTATTATATCTCGGAGCTGTTGCACGCATATCTGGAGAATAGCAGTGGGTTTGTTGTCCCAGATTTTTATGTTCTCTTTTTAATAAACATGCAAGAGACAACAGAGGTAGTGTTGAAGTGGGTCCCGTATCTTGTTGCTGTCTTACAGCATTGCATCTCCTCTTAATGGCTGCAATACAGACCCCATTATCTCTAGTGAGATACTGGGGTTTACCTTCCCATCTCTTTGGCATCTTATTCTGTCAGTCAGTTTCTTAATTACTGAGGTGTTAGACTGATGGGCATCAGAGATCATGTCTCCATATTGTCATGTTTTCAAAGCCATTTCACACAGTTGGTCTTTTGTAGTCAGTACACCCCATGAAGGAGAATACATGGGCATGTGCTGCTGGTACAGCCTGCGCAAACCTCCAGAACATGGGCGTGTCACACAGGACATCATCATGATCCGTGATCCCGTTTTTATCATAGATCACCTCTCACACAGCTAATTCTCAAATATGTGATGATACTCTCAGGAGTTGGTGTTCTGCTTCAGTGCCAGTCGATGTCACCCTTATGGGGCTATCTCTTCCTTACAACTGAAAGCTGTCTGCTCCATAGGGTGATAGTTCCTGTCTTACTACCAAGTATTCTATCAATACCAGCATCTCTGGCCAGGGATCCCAACTACTTGGGTTCTCTTTTGTCCACGTCATATGTTTCAGCCCTATTATCAAAGCATCAGAGCAACCAACAAAGAAGTGCCTCACCTTCATTGTGGGTAAAGTCCTTTCTCATTAGGTGCAATTTAGAGAGAAAGGTTGGACAAGATCATTGTCATCTCCTTGATGAGGGCTTGCTCCTCTAATTACCACTTTTAACATCACTTTTAAAAAGGGGTCCTCTACTGTTAAGTGTTCTTATGGTTTTAGATGGCTGTTTCTTTGCTTTGTTCCTAGTCACAGGATTAACCTCAAGTTTTGTTTGTTTGGATCAAGTGGGTATAGCCTTAGTCTTAGCAGCAGCAACCTTGCCTGTGTGGAAGCAGATTGTGATCACTCTACATATCCATAGTACATTATAAACATGTAGCAAAAGCCTCTCTAGGGAAACAGTGCTATTTTGATTAAAAGCTGGGAGATTCAGCCCAAGAGGAAACAAGTAGAACTAGATCTGTCATTTTTAACACAAACCTTTCTATTCACATAGAATTTGGTACTATACCGTGCCACCCTATAGATCAATATCAAAACCCCTGTGATCACTAAATATGTTATTACACAGTTAATTATGGCTATAGTTTTTCAATACACCATAAACCAATAACAAGAACAGCTACACAGAGCAGTATTATCCCAGCTGCATACCACATGTACAACTGCATGTTGGGAAGAAGGTCCAGCAGAAACACGAGAGAAAACATGTTCAGTTTTCAACCCATCAACATATTCAGCAGAAGCTTTGCCCAATGATATCTTAGCAATTCCTCCCATCAGAGCTTGAATTCTAAACATTCAGCAATTAGTCAGAATTTAAAGCCTGAGCTTAAGATACAGCCCCACATTTGGCACCAATAAATTGTCACTGACTCAGGATCAACAGTTAAACCAGCAAAAACAATGCTCTCAATCCCCTCCCCCTCCCATCCAGGTAGGGAAGGAGAGAAAGAATTGATGACAGACTTTCTGGATTGAAAACTAAACTACACAGCTTTAATGAAACACTAATGATATAATTATATACAAATATGTTCAGGAATGTGCAAAACCCTGCTGCCTCCCCCCACCCCCAGCAATTCCCCAGGCACTCTCCTGAGCTGTGAACAGTCCCAAAATGTCCCAGACCGCTGCCAGAGAGAGCAGCAGAGTAGACAGGAGCTGAGGGTAGAGTTACAAGGGTCAGGAATGCATGAGCCTGGGGATCAATGGTGATGGATAGATGGAGTCCTCCCCAGATGGCAGCCATTAATGGAAGGAAAGAAGCAGAATTCCATGATCTCTGACCTTACACTGATCTTACATAGATATATGGAACGGAATACTTTGGTCAATTTTGCTGTCCATCTAGTCCACTCCTCCCTAAAGGAGGGTTGCAGGCATGACTCTTCTGCTGCTTTAGCATCTGTGGACACAAAGCATCCTTGATATCTTAGCAGTAACAAGCATTTAAGCCTTATCAGTCCACTAGCTGGAAAGCTTGCTGCAGTTAAAAGAGAGCTTACTAAAGAAAAAAAAAACAGTAAAAGGAAAATTGGTTTCATCCTGGCTCAAATCAGGACAAGTGAGCACTCCGTGGTTCTCTAGTTGAGAGTTCAGCTTCTGGATGGGATTCAGGGGTATATTTATTAGTACAGTATTGTCACCAGTTCACCATTGTAGTTGTTCTTCATCAGTCCCACAATAGGGTCCTCTGATAAGCCACAGAGGATAGACAGCAATCTAATTTTCTCTATCTCCACCACCTCTACACTAAACACCCACCAATGCCCACTCAGGTGCTTGAAGTATCCCCTTCCAAGATAATAAACACTAATATCAAATGGGGCATCAGGGCCAGTCACTCACTGTAGGATTCTTTCACCACTCATGTCCAAGCAGATTAACATCAGCTTCAGTCATAGTCAATTCCTGGGCTCCTCCCATTTCTCCAACAATAGAAATTGATTCCATCCTGATAAAATTGGAGGGCATTATGGTGCCTTGTGCACAGGTGTCCACCAGAGCTTTTTTTTTTTTGAAACAGACGTGCCAGGTCATTGAACCCACATGGTCCAATAGACTCAGTTGTCCCTGTTCTCCACCTGGCTGGAGAAAGGGCCCCTCCAATTCTGAGAAGAATGCCCATCATTGCCATGAATGAGTGACTCACATGAACTATTGTCATTAGTCACATATTTTTAATTAAAAGATGAAGTTCATCTGCACCATCTGGGGGGCTGTCCACTAGAAACTGAAGCAACGCTTTTCTTCAAAGATCCCCCTTTTATGATCTTTTTGCCTTACAACTCATTCACATGTGCCTGTAAGAACAAGGTAGATTCTTCTGTCCCATTTTCTCACGTTTTCCCCATAGTTGCACAAGAAAAAACAGGATACCTCATGATGTGTCTGTATCAGGCTTTTCAGGGGTACACTTTCTCTGGATGGCAGAAACACTTGTTGGTACAGATAGCAAGTGTAGCCTGTTCTCTGCCTGGGAGTCTGTCTAGCACCTTATCGCACAGTTCCACAGATTTGTCAGATGGTTTTTCCATAGCAAAGATACTGGCTCATAGGGAAGAAAATAAATTATTTGTATACTGCCATAGTCAAGTATCCAACTCACCTACCATTGGTGCCTCATCATCCTTCCAGCCACACAATGGCAATGTTTGTATAAGCTGGCAGCATGCTCAGTACCCACTTGTACCACATGGGTCCAGTAACTGATATTTCTGGACCCAATGGTACCTGTGGGTCATCCAAATTAGCAAAAATCAGCTCCCACACAGCTATTTCTCTCAGACATTCAACACCTTTCTCAATAGTCATCCATTTAGTCTGTATATGACATAATCCCTAAAGGAATACCTGTTCTTCACACTCAGGAAGCCATCTCCAGGGAGTGAGGGACTGTGCTTCTCTTGCTAAGCCTTTGTTAATGCCCACATCTCTAGCTATTTGTCCAAACTGCTTAGCTTTGTTACCTTCTTAATTCCATGCCATCCACTCCATTATCCTAGCACCAGAGCAGCCAAGTAACAAGTTTCTCTCCTTCATACCAACTCTAAATCTTCGCAGATATCTTGCAACTCACTAAAGAACAGATATCAGATAGTTACCTCTTCACGATCTGCTCCTCTTCTGTATTGCCTCTTATATACAGGGGCAACTAGCACCATTTGAGTGTTTTAAGTCAACTGCATCACCCATCGCCAGGGTCTGAGTGACTGCAATGCTTCTCATCACTACAGGGCCTGTTGCAGGAGTTGCAGCCACTACCGAGCACATACCTCTATACCAAGGGTCCACTTCAAAGAAGCCCAGACTCTTGAAAATATTCAAGAGACCTAATAACACAAACACAATAGCACAAGCATCCCAAGAGCATTCTAAATTGGCCATGCCCATCACCATTTCATAATGATCAGAAACTGGTATAATCCCTAACAAATTCATTATACCATAAGCTAAGACCATACAACCCAGAAAACTTGCATCTCTAAATCCATGCCCAAAAGCAATAAACCAGAACCAAACAGCAGTAAAGCCACCCATAGCCACCAAAACAATTCCAAAAAAAAAGAAAAAAAAGCACTTAGCTACCTATGATTCTATGTAGTTTAGTGCTATTCCTCTATAAGCAGCGAAGGAAACCTTTTCTCGAGTGATGCAATTTAATATTAATTTAGCTTTATAATATTAGCATGTGCACTTTGTGCAGAATTAATATGTTTATTTTGATTAAATAATGAACGAATTTGACAGTGATTACATGCACATAGTTGTATATATAAAGATATTGTATAAATAAAATGAGCTATGCTGCTAGAAGATAACCCCTCCTCAAATGTCACCTTTTTCCAGATTTGTATTATGGTGGAGAAGCTTTCTCTGTAGAGCAGCCGCAGTCCTTTACTTGTCCTTATTGTGGAAAGATGGGTTATACAGAAACAACTCTTCAAGAACATGTTGCTTCTGAACATGCAGAAACATCAACAGAGGTGGTAAGCTGCTTCAGCATTGGTTTTCTATTCTAATGAAAGTATATGAAAATTTCCAGGAAATGAGTTGTGTTTTTTTTAAAGTATGTGTTCATTTAAATACTGACTAGGAAGTTATGTACCATACATACATACACACCATGCTGGTGTTTTCCCTCTTGACTCTTTGAGCTACAAACAGTCCCAAACTCAGTGATCGTACATCTGCCTACAATATCACCTTGACTAAGGGAGACCCTCCCATTGAGTCACGAGGTTCAGAGTGGACCCCCTTGCTTTCTAAACTCCTACTCAGAGAGGAGTCTAGTGCAGCTGGATCCACTCCTACTCCCAGACTTGGCCAATGGTTGATGTCTAAGGGATTATATGCATTTATAGCTAAAGCATTATATGTGCACACCCAATTGTTTATATCACTTAGCTATGATTTCAAAGTTTCATCATGCTTATTCCCACTTCAGTTGCCTTCCATCTGAGTGTCTGGTGTTAGTTTACTCTGAAGTTCAAACCCTTGGTTTCCCAAAGCAAACTCTTAGGCATCAGATTTTATAAAATAAATAATTTAATAGAGTGGTACAGCAGCATGGTCAACTCGTGTCTCTGGAGAGGGACTGACCCAAAGAAATCCCTGGGCAATTATGCCCTTACAGACTATTCACCCATCTCACACAGTGGTTCAGTCCAGTAGTAATATTTGTGTCTGGGGTCTTCTTGTTCCTCATTGGATTCCTTCACTGTCTTCAGACAGGCCATTATCTTGTCTAGTTGCAGCTGCTTTTGATGGCTGTAGCCTTGAAGCCTCTATATCTTCTGATTTACACTGGCTCTGGAGGCCTTGTTTTGACTAAGTAGGTACATGTTCAGTAAATATACGTGGAAATTTACAGCTTGTGGCCTAAGGCTTCAGCAAATCTTGCTACTCATGCTAAGTAAATAAAGCTAAGCAAACAGCATGCTAAATCATACAATATTATAACTCAAAGTGATTAATTCTATTCACAGCTTGACTTATTTAAGCTAAACAACTAATATCTCTTAACACTAAGAGGCATCCCTGCTAAAAGGGAGAGTTGCCTGGTGTGCAGTCCAGTTGCCATTCAGGGAGAATTCAAATTGGGCTCATCCAGCGATCTGTCATTGGAAAAAGATCTTGTGGCTTCAAGGAGCACCCTTGAGGGGCATCCCAGCTCAAGGGAACATCTTCGCCATGCAGCCACTGCCTAGCAGGGAGAGCTCAAAGAAGGCTCACTTAGGCTGTCATATTTATGGAATAAAGTGGTTGGCTCATAGTCAAATTGCATACAATGTGAGAGGTATGCAAAATACTTCTTGTACCCACAACTTATTGGTGTTCACTGTGTTGCTCTGTTCCTTTGTGGGTTTCCTAGAGGAGTTCTTGGCCCAGCTACAGCTAAGGCCTTTACCTCCTTTGGAGCCCATACCAAGCTGCTGCTGATTTGGTTAAGGGGGGGTCGAGTGCATCCATCACAGCAGGCCGCTAAATCCTGGTGTTAGAAAGAGGGTTAAACCCTTGTAAAAATACATAGCTTTTAAATATATTGACTTCTTATAAAGTGGCCCTTGCTGTATCCCATTACCCCCTGCCACTTGATTTTCATGATTATTTCAACAGTTGTAATTGATGCAGAGCAATTATACACCATATAATAGACTACTGGAACAATTGTTTTGCTTCTGGTTTTGTTAGTTAAGTGTTCTGATGTTCTCAAGTTTTTATATCTAGATGTTACTGTTGCTTGTGCCAGGTGTGAAATTTTTCCAAAATGTGAGTTCATAGAATCATATAATCACAGGGGTTGGAAAGGACCTGTGAAGGTCATTGAGTCCAACCCCCCTTCTGCAGCAGGAACATCTAGGGCAGATCACACAGGAACGCATCCAGAGGGGTCTTGAAAGTCTCCAGAGAAGGAGACTCCACAACCTCTCTGAGTAGCCTGTTCCAGGGCTCCATCACCCTCACAGTAAAGAAGTTCCTCCTCATGTTGAAGTGGAACTTCCTGGGTTGTAACTTGGTGCCATTTCCCCTCATCCTATCACTGGGCACCACTGAAAAGAGACTGGCCCATTCTTAACATCCACTCTTCAGATACTTATAGACATTGATATGGTCCCCTCTTAGTTTTCTCCAGACTAAACAGCCCCAGGTCTCTTAGCCTTTCCTCATATGACAGATGTTCCAGTCCCTTAATCATCCTCGTAGCCAGCCCTCTGTTGGACTCTTTCCAGTATATCCCTATCACTCTTGAAGTGGGGACCCCAGAACTGTATGCAGTACTCCAGATGTGGCCTTACGAGGGCAGAGCAGAGGGGGAGGAGAACCTCCCTTGACCTACTGGCCACACTGTTCTTAGTACATCCCAAGATACTATTGGCTCTCTTGGCCACAAGGGCACGTTGCTCTCCCATGGATAACTTGTTGTCCACCAGGACCCCAAGGTCCTTCGGCATGGGGCTGCTTTCTAGCAGGTCAACCCCTAATCTATATCGGTGTATGGTGTTTTTTCTCCCCAGGTACAGGACTCTACACTTACTCTTGTTGAACCTCATTAGATTAATCTCTGCCCAGCTCTCCAGTTTGTCTAGATCTTTCTGAATGGCTGCACAGCCTTCAGGTGTATCAGCCAATCCTCCCAGCTTTGTATCATCAGCAAACTTGCTGAGCATACACTCCATCCCCTCATCCAGGTTATTGATGAAGATGTTGAATACAACTGGGCCCAGTACTGACCCCCGGGGAACACCACTAGTCACAGGTCCAACTGGACTCTGCACCATTGATCACAACACTCTGGTCTCTATTGTTTAGCCAGTTCTGGGTCCATCTCACTATCCACTCTTCTAACTCATGCTTCCTGAGCTTATCCACAAGGATGTTATGGGAGACGGTGTCAAAAGCCTTACTGAAGTTGAGGAAGATAAGATCCACTGTTCTCGCTGCATCTGCTCCATCATCTTTCCAGAGGTGGAGGTAAGGCTAACCGGTCTGCAGTTACCCGGGTCCTGTTTCTTGCCCTTCTTGAAGACTGGAGTGACACTGGCTTTCCTCCAGTCCTCAGGCACCTCTCCCGTTTTCCAGGACTTTTCAGTGATGATGGAGAGCTGTCTGGTGATTACTTCTGCCAGCACCCTTCAGTGCTTAAATTATGTTGCTAAGCACTATATATTTCTTTTAAATACTTCCAGGGATGGTGACTCCACCCCCTCCCTGGGCAGCTTGTTCCACTGTCCAACCACTTTTTCGGTAAAGAAATTCTTTCTAATATCCAGCCTAAACCTCCCCTGGTGCAACTTCAGGCCATTTCCTCTCATCCTGTCATTATTCACTTGAGGGAAGAGGCCAACTCCCACTTCTCTACTACCTCCTTTCAGGTAGTTGTAGAGAGCAATGAGGTCTCCCCTCAGCCTCCTCTTCTTCAAACTAAACAATCCCAGTTCCCTCAGCCTCTTCTCATAGGATTTATTCTCCAGACCTTTCACCAGCTTGGTAGCCCTTCTCAGAACATGCTCCAGCAACTCTACATCCTTCTTGTAGTGAGGGGCCCAGAACTGCACACAGTACTCAAGGAGTGGCCTCACCAATGCTGAGTACAGGGGCACAATCACCTCTCTACTT